GAGCTCTGTCTTCGTGAACGGGGTTCTCTAGCTTATAAGACTCTACCAACAGCTTTCGATTGCTCTCGTGAATATTCATTCTTCCAAGATACACCTAAAAGAACTAAGTTACTATACAAACACAACGTAAAAAAGGGTCCTAACTAAGACGATCACGCCATAAATTTATTAAACGGCCTATATTTAAACCTTTAGAAAGATCAAGTTATACTGGTCACGTAAATTAGATATATTTATATATCTTACAGATATAGATTCTAAAGAAATACAAGTATAAGTGGATATATAGTAGAAGAGAAAAAAGATGGGGGGGGGGTTCGTTACAATTTGGTGCCGTGACCAGGATAGAGGTTAAATTTTAAATAGGAGGCCGGTAATATAAAATTATGAGGTAGGCTATATGCCTACAATTTGTTGTCCGTGCAATGGAGAGGTGTCTTAGAGAGTGGTGTTTGCTGGGGGTGGTTAAGAGTCTGGGGGTGGGGCTTAAATATTAAAATGGAGTAATAATATAGGAGTGTGCATAACGGAGCGAAATAATAAAAAGTGAAATAAGTGGAAAGACTCAATTAAACTAAGTGAAGGACACAACAGGTGTAAAAAAAAAAAAAAAAAAAAAAAAAAACTGCAATACTATATATTATAAAGTGAAATAAGTGGAAAGACTCAATTAAACTAAGTGAAGGACACAAAAAGTGTAAAAAAAAAAACAAGTGGTAATAAAAATTAAAAATGGCTAAAAATAAGAAAAAATCAACCTCAATTAAGACTAAGCCTAAAGATGAGATGAAAATGCTTCAGAAATTAATTAAGAATGCAGTGAAAACCTTTGAGGTTAAAATAAAGGATCTTGAGGAAAAATTTATTAACCAAACGAAAGATTACCAAATTAAAATAAATCAAGGAGAGGTGTCCGGGGCGAGCACCTCTCATGTAAATGATCCTAGACAAAATATTGTATATAATGTACATAATGTAACATTAGAAAAGCCGAAATTTGGAAATGGAAATACTCATCCAGTATCATTTTTGGAAGATGTCACCAATTACTTAAAGAAAGTTCCATCTAATGGTCTCGAAATTTCGATTGCACAAGAGTGCTTAGTAGGTGAAGCCAAGTATTGGGCTCGCATTAATAATGTGCGTTGGACAACTTTTGATGATTTTAAAGCTGACTTCCTAAGAGTGTTTTGGGGTGAAGAAGAACAAAATAAAGTAAAGAGATTCCTTGTGCAAAATAAATTGAATAGAAGTACACACCCCACCATGGTTAGTTATTTTCTTTATGTGGTTGAGAAGGCACAAACATTATCATATCCGATACCTGAAAAACAATTAGTAACTGATGACATCAGACATTATCCTAAAACTGTGCAGCAATTATGGAGAATAGCTAAAATTGAGACAATAATAGACACGACAGATTTCTTAAGAAACTTAGATGACATCGACAAACAAGATGAAGGTCGTGAACCTTACTATAATGAGAAAAGGAGGAAGTTTAATAATAATACGGAGCAAAAACATAAAGAAATACAACAATCATACAAAACATGGCGTAAACCCGAAGAGGGAAAAAAGAAGGTTAATGAAGTACATCAAATACATTTCACTAATGACCAACCTGATGTTACGGCTCCTGAGCCAAATTTAGAGCTGTAGAGGTCGAACTAGTTCCCGATTCGACCCCTTACAATGTAAAAGGGAACAAAGCATTAAATATGTTATTAAAACTGGGATGGCGACCTGGTCAAACATTGGGTAAAAACAATAGAGGGTTGCGAAAACCTATTACTTTAAAAGCAAATTTTAACAGAGAAGGCCTTGGTTATAACGACAATGTAAATAGCATATTAAACACCTTAAAAGCCAGGTCGGACTTGCCCATAACGGAGTTATTCGTGCAAACCGTCTTCGAGGAAGGCGAAGATAAATATCAAAGGGAATTTATAGGGAATATGATATCTGAATGATTTCTTATATTTACGCGAACACTACACATTGAATAAAACTATTTTTACGGATTTTATCGCGTTTAATTTACTTATTTTATATTCCCGACGTTTCGGTTGCTTTCCAGCAACCGTGGTCACGGGGGACTGAGGTGATTGACGTCCCGATGTCAAAGTTAACCCGGAGTACCTTCAGCTTTTTAATTATTAATTTTGGTCCGATCTACGCAGAATGAACTAACTGTGTCTTGAAGTCTTACAGTGGTATGCTTGGGTTTAGTTTTAATTTTATGAATTACAGGATCCCAAGCAGGTGGTAGTACCCAGCCTCCCTCTCTATTGAAATTAGGATGTTTTTTAAAAAAAGTTTTGGCCAAAGGTATGAATTTCGCTATAACACCGCGAAAAATTCCGTATGAAAACATTATCTGTAGTGTTGAGGACTGTCTGTATAAAAATAATATTGGTAAAGAAGATTTAGAGGCTATACGTCAAGACATTTCGTCCTTGTTACGTCGAAGCTCAGCGCCAAAATTAAATCTTCCCAAAGATGAATTTACTGCATTGAAAAACTTACGCAACAGACCAGATCTTACGATTCTCCGCGCAGATAAAGGTAATGCTACGGTTATAATGGATACGTCGGATTACAATTTTAAAATACAACAACTTTTATCGGATGAAAGTACGTACGTAAAGGTCAAAACAGATCCTACAACTAATACGCTTAAAACAACTAGCGATCTAATAAAGAAATACTCCGAGAAACTGAATCTAGACGTAAATTCGATAATACCTACGTGTGCCAAACCGCCGAAGTTGTATGGGTTACCAAAAATACACAAACCGAACGCTCCATTACGTCCAATAGTGAGTCAGATCGATTCGCCAACTTACAGATTGGCTCAACACTTAGCAAAAGTACTATCACCATTCAGAGGACATACAAGAGCACACACTAAGGATTCATACCATTTTGTCAGTGAGATAAAAGACCTATGTCTTACTGACAATGAAACTATGGTCAGTTTTGATGTTCAGTCTCTATTTACATGCCTACCTGTTGAAGACTGCATCTCAATTATAACTAGGAAACTAGAGGAAAACAACATGCCAGCAGAATATGCAGTATTACTCAGACATTGCCTTACATCTGGCTACCTATTGTGGAAGGAACAGTTTTACAAGCAAGTAGATGGTGTTGCGATGGGCTCACCGGTATCTCCCATTGTCGCCGATATTTTCATGGAGGACTTTGAGGAGAAAGCCCTGCTTACTGCACCAGTAACTCCAAGTTTCTACAAGCGGTACGTAGACGATACTTTCACAATTTTACCATCAGACAAAGTAACTGCATTTTTAGAACATCTTAATTCCATAAACTCTAAAATTCAATTTACTATGGAGTTAGAGGCAAATAATTCTTTAGCTTTCCTAGATGTCTTAGTCATTCGAAATCCTAATAATACCGTAGGTCACACTGTGTATAGAAAAAAGACCCATACAAACCGATACTTAAACGGTGAATCCCACCATCACCCTTCACAGTTAGCTACCGTGGGCAAATCTTTGTTGCAGAGAGCACGAGGGATCTGTGACAGCAAACACCTGGCCGCCGAGCTTCAGCACGTCAAGCAGGTTCTGCACGACAACAAGCTTCGGGTTCCGCGCCTACGTCACAGTGACCGAGTGAAGCCGGCCACAGTCGAGCGTGTGCCTGCTGTACTACCATATGTCAGAGGTGTCACAGACAAGATTGGCTACATCTTGAAGCGAGCTTCTATTAGAACATTCTTCAAGCCGCCGAAGAAGATTAGTCAGTTCTTACCATCCGTCAAGTGCCATATTCCTCTACAAGATGCAGGAGTATACAAGCTTGATTGTGAGTGTGGTCTCTCATATATAGGGCAAACAAAACGATCAATAAAAACCCGCGTAAAAGAACACATAGCTGACGTGAAGCACCAACGTTCCGGGAAGTCTGCAGTTTGTGATCATATCCTAGACGGCCCCCGTCATTACATTAGATTTGATAAACCACAAGTCCTCGCGAAAGAACATCGATTCCTGCCAAGGATGATACGTGAGGCTATTGAAATTAAAAAACATCCTAATTTCAATAGAGAGGGAGGCTGGGTACTACCACCTGCTTGGGATCCTGTAATTCATAAAATTAAAACTAAACCCAAGCATACCACTGTAAGACTTCAAGACACAGTTAGTTCATTCTACGTAGATCGGACCAAAATTAATAATTAAAAAGCTGAAGGTACTCCGGGTTAACTTTGACATCGGGACGTCAATCACCTCAGTCCCCCGTGACCACGGTTGCTGGAAAGCAACCGAAACGTCGGGAATATAAAATAAGTAAATTAAACGCGATAAAATCCGTAAAAATAGTTTTATTCAATGATATCTGAAATTAAAGTTTCAATATTTGACAAAGAAATAGACGCACTCCTCGACACTGGGAGCGATGTTACATGCATTTCAGAAAGTTTATATTTACAAATTAAAGATAATAATCGTAAAATATCAATAATGCCAGTTAAAGCAATGCAAATAAAAGGTGCTGTTGGGCAGCGCAGCACAAAAATACAACAGATAATCATATTGCCTATAAAGATAGATGAAGTAGTCTTTGAAACACAAACTTTAATTGTAGGTAATTTAATAAGACCGTTAATATTAGGCTTTGACTGGCTCAAGAGAAATAAAATATTGATTGATTTGAGAAATACTACTGTTGGAATAGAATTTAAAGTGAAAAACAAAGACTACTTTATACCTTTCAAATATAATAATAAATCTGTATTACATAATAACTGCATCAAACAATGTACCGATGATCCCTTAATAAATATAAAAATAGGATCTACATTGGAGGTCTCTGAAAGGGCAAAACTTAGTAAGGTTTTGGAAAAGCATAAGAATATGTTTTCGAGCAAATTGGGAAGAGCCAATTGCTATGAGCATAAAATTGAAATGATCGATGATGAACCTATAGTTACTAGGTCCTATCCCATTCCATATGCATATAGAGCGAAAATGGAAGAAAAGTTAAATGAAATGGAACAAGCTGGTATCATCACAAGGACATCAACGCCTTACAGTAGTCCATTGACATTCACTCTTAAAAAAGACGGCTCAATTAGAGTTCTGCTTGATGCCAGAAGCATAAATAAGAAAATGGTTGCAGAAACAGAGAAACCACCTATACAATTAGATGTTTTGAATTCATTTCACGGAGCGAATTATATCACTACCATTGACTTAAATAATGCATATTTTCAAATTCCGATAAATAAAGATGGTAGAAAATATACTGGATTCACATTCAATGGAAAGTCATATGTATATAATGTTTTGCCGCAAGGATTAAAAACATCAGTAGGAAGCTTTAGCAGAGCCATGAATTTAATATTAGGACCAGAAGTCCAAGAATTTTGTGTGAACTATTTAGATGATCTAGCCATTATTACAACAGGAACGTTAGATAAACATTTGGAGCACATTGATATTGTTTTAAGTAAATTGAACAAAGCTGGCTTAACGTGTAACTTGCAGAAATGTGAATTTATTTGTAAAGAAATTAAAATGCTGGGTTTTATAATTTCAACAGAAGGCATAAAGACAGATCGCGATAAGATTCGAGCGATCCAAGAGTTTCCAGCACCTAAAAAGATTAAACAATTAAGGGCCTTTTTAGGTCTATGCAATTTTTATAGAAGGTTTATACCAAATTACAGCGAGAGCATAATACCGCTCTGTGATTTACTTAAAAAGGGACGAAAGTTCCAATGGAGCGGTAAAGAACAGAAGGCATTTGATTTTATAAAACAACAATTTATTAATACAATACAATTGCATCATCCAGACTTTAATAAGCCGTATTATTTACAAACAGATTGTTCCGGTGTGGGTATGGCCGGAGTACTATATCAGATAGATGATAATAATGAAATGAGAATTTTAGGCTATTATAGTAAAGCCTTAAAAGGCCCCGAATTAAATTGGTCTGTTACTGAACAAGAGTTTTATGCTGTAATAAGCTGCCTAAAGAAATTTGAAACATATTTGCGGGGCAGTAAAGTAATAATACTAACTGATCATAAAGCATTATTGTTTATTAATAATATGAAGTTATTCAATGGTAGAGTAACCCGATGGATTTTGTATATAGAACAATTTAATTATGAAGTACAGCATATATCGGGTAGACGTAATATTGTTGCAGATGTGCTATCACGTTATCCTCCTGATGGCGATTTAATACAAGAGGATAAAAATAATAGTTTAGAAATTGCTTACACAGAGAGCGAACCGAATATTGAGTTGATAGAAAAATTAAAATCCTTAACAGTATATCAATTACAAGATTCAGAGTCGTTGGCTATTATTGAAAAGTTAAAGACATTAAATACTTCCATAATAAAACAAAACAATAAATTTAAAAGATATAGTTTGAAAAATGATGTATTACAAAACGAATTTACAAGAAGTAATATATTTACCTAAAGCATTGAGACAAGATATTATAAATCAAGTGCATGTCGAAATGGGTCATCAAGGACCCTATAAGGTAATTAAATATGTGAGAGACAGATTCTTTTGGAAAGGTTTAACAAAAGATATTAAAAACCAATTAAGGGCTTGTCATTTATGTCAGTTATCTAAGAAAAGTAATATAACATATGTGGGTCCCTGCAAATCTATAATAACAGAAAACATTGGCGATATAGTCATGGCAGACTTATATGGACCACTTGTATCAGGTACCTTTGGGTACACTTTCATATTTGTCATTCAAGATTCATTCAGTAAATTTATCAAATTATATCCTTTAAAACAGTCAACAGCAAAGTCTGTTGTAACAAAAGTAAAGCATTTTGTTGAGATTATAAAGCCCAAGGCAATAATGACAGATAATGGAAAACAGTTCGTAAGTAATCACTGGAAACAATCAATGAGTGAATTAAATATAAAGCCAATATATACCACAGTTAGAAATCCTAGACCAAATACAACAGAGCGAGTAAATAAAAAGTTGAGCAGATTATTTAGGACGCTTTGTAATACTAGCCACAAAGATTGGGCGTTAATATTGCCGAAATTAGAAGAATTGTATAATAATTCTTATCACAATAGTACAGGCTTCACGCCTTGTGAGATTCTTTATGGTGAGTCTAATGAGATGTCTTTTGACAAAGTAATTTCCAAAAGTAAAGACAAACATAATGTCGGACAAATTAGACAACAAGTGCGTAAAAATTTAAAAGAGGCAAGTCGAATAAGAAACACAAAATTTGATAAGAGAAATAGATTAATAAAATATAATATTGGTGACTTAGTAAAAATTTTCAAGATCTAGTAGATCAGACGCTGATAATAAAGATATGAGTAAGTTCAATTTGGCATATGAAGGACCTTATGTAATAGCAGCCGTACCATTTGACAATGTATATACCTTAGCAAATCCAGAGACAAACCAAATTAGAGGAGTTTTCAATGCTATTCACTTATTAAAATATTTTAAATAATAATTTCTTTTTGTATAAATTAGAGTAATTAAATAAATAGTGTAACATAAAAGGGTTTTGTGGGTGGCCCATGGAAATAATTGTTTAAGTTAAAGGTCTAAAATTATTAAAGTTATGAGCAAGAGATTTGTTATATGATAGAAGAACGTTATTAATATATAATGAAGAGTTGTAAATATAGATCGTAAGATAGTTTTGTAATCATTTTATTAAATAAATATGGGATTTGGGTCAGGGTGAATGGCTTAATCACATTTATCCTATGTGGTATCGAACTGACCTCAACAAATATCCAAGTGGATTGTATACACATAAAGTGTGACACTATCGAAATAATGTTTCAAAGATTTAAAGATAAATTAATAAAATAAGAAATCGACAATTGACTACAAACTTTATTAACAACACGATATACAATAACTTGAATTATGATGTTAGCACATTGTGATAATTGTGGTTGAAGGGGTGTTGGTGGCGGCTATTCTCTGGTGTAGGGGGATTTGATAACATATGCCGTATTGTAACAGATTAAAAGAGGAAAGAACAGATATATCAACAATTATTTGAGTGTAGTGTATATGCTCTCAAAATACTAAAATTTTATATTAACGACTCCACTATGTGGATCATTAACATAAATTTTGGGGGTGGATTGTGACGCCTCATAATTATTATTAATAAATAATAATTAAATTCATTATACAGACATTTAAAAATGTCTTAGAAATTATAATTTAAACAATAAAATGCAAATAATAAGCATAGAGTTCAAAAATATCCATTTGGAATATTGAATATTATATATATTAGTAAACGCATAAAATGTCTCTAAAAATCTCTAAATTTATTAAAAACCTGCTTAAAATGTTCAAAATGTATCAAATCATATAAATACAAGGCGATTATATTGCAATAACAAAGATAAATAACATTTGTAATATAATAGAAAAAATGGATTAAAATTTTCTAAGTTGATGAAGGTGTTCGTGTAATAATTGGAAAATTTCTAAGTTAATGAACGTGTTCTTGTAATGTTCCCTTATATTGGGGCGTTGTCGGAGACACATACCCAAGGTTGTATATATATATGGGGTGGTCGGCTGACCGACTGCTAGTACTAAGGTTGCACAATGACTAGTCCTATATTAGGGACTTAACATAGTAAGGTCTGACGAACCAAAGCATTAATATAGAAGGTCTCTATGATGCATAAGCATTATGATAGCAGAGTTATGACTTGAAGTCCCATATGAATAAGACATACAGTAGTATGGTCTATGAAATAAAGCAAATATGTGGAAGGTCTCAAATATGTAAAAGCATTATATTGAAAGAAATGGGACTTGAAAAGGATTATTATAGTGGCGTGTAGGTTGCTTCGCAGCCTCTGAGACCGAGGTAAACTTGGACTCACTAACCGATGTGTCCTAGACATATCATCTTAGTGCCGGTGGTAAGCGGGTTTGTTGTAGCAATACGACTTGCCCGTGGACATCGCACACCCCTACCGGTTGTGGGCGGCGTCTTAGCGCATAGCGTTATGATACGTCGGCTATCTTTCGGATTAGGGTGAGTGTGTTTGGTAGTACTTTTAAGTGCAGCAAGCATACTCAACTTCATGTCTTAGTGCAATAGCGCTATGATACGTGGAGTTTTGGCTACTGACGTCTTAGTACCGTACTACTATTTTTAGTTAACAACATTATCAAATTTTGTTACCAAAGTCGATAGGGATCATGTGGGTGTGTTGTGAGGGGGCGCCATCCGTATGATAGTTGCATTGATGCTTACTGCTACTTGCAGTATTGTGTCTTGTAATGGATCTGCGGGTGTGCTGCACCTGATTCGATGCATCTTGTGGTTCTGGTCGATGGAGGTATGCGGGTGGTGATGTCTGCTGGGACTGTATGGGGGACCTTGGGATGGTGTAAGCCCGACGATAGTCGTATTGATGCTTGTTGCATTCTGTAGCATTGCGTCTCTACGATGGTTGTTTGGCGGGTCGCTATTCTCAATGGCGCTCTCTGCGTCTTGGTTTGACTCACAACCTAAGTAGCTTTGCCCAAGTCGGGTCCCTTCATTGCGGGGCTGCAGACTGTCTGCCCTCCATGATGTTTTATATAACAACTTAATAATATATCTCTATAAAGTTCCCACCTTTGAGAGATTGAAGGCAACTTGTTGGTGGGTGAGACAAACATGATCGAAAAATGCATATACTCAACGTCAGAGACACAAACCCTTTCTGATGGCGAATTATTAATATTATCTTATAACTGCCTATTGGCTATATCTGCCATTGTATTGGTTGGTGGAGCATATGTGTTGACCTCATGCGGGTGGTAGCTGGAGGGAGAATCTGAGGAGGCTCTCAAGGCTGCGGCCGAAAGCCGCGCAACGTGGGACCCTATTCCCTTGAGGTGAGCGGTAGACTCATGACACGCTCTGCGGCCAATTGGCCGTGCTGACCATGCAATTGGTGGTGATGCCTTACACTTACATCACGTCTGCAGAAACGGCGGTCTGGCAGGTGGTGGCGCTCACGGAGGGCTTTTTATGGTCAGTGTGCCGATTGTTGCCTAACCCGTGTGACGTACATTTCACTGTGGCTGGATTTGATCGTATTCTGTATGGCGTTTACACGCATTGACATGCGCGACTTCGGTCGATGTTTGTGCTTACGCACTATCAAGGGGCCAAGTCCTCTTTTACTGGTTCGCCAGTTATTTTGCTGTGGACTACGGTCCAGTTCCCAACTTTGCGTACCCTTCGGGGGGAGTGCATTAAAATGGTTGGCGCTCACCGTGCGCGGCGTGTGTGGGGCCGTGTACCTCCTCCACATTTTTTTTAAAATGTGGGAGAGCGAAGCCCTTGTAACTGGTATTTGATATAAATATTGTGAGCCTTTTCCAAGCGGGAAGGGATTAATTAATAAGGAATTGACTGTTGTGAACCAGATACAAGTGGAATAGGGACAATTTATTGTTCTTAACCTTTTTGAGCTCTGTCTTCGTGAACGGGGTTCTCTAGCTTATAAGACTCTACCAACAGCTTTCGATTGCTCTCGTGAATATTCATTCTTCCAAGATACACCTAAAAGAACTAAGTTACTATACAAACACAACGTAAAAAAGGGTCCTAACTAAGACGATCACGCCATAAATTTATTAAACGGCCTATATTTAAACCTTTAGAAAGATCAAGTTATACTGGTCACGTAAATTAGATATATTTATATATCTTACAGATATAGATTCTAAAGAAATACAAGTATAAGTGGATAAATAGTAGAAGAGAAAAAAGATGGGGGGGGGGTTCGTTACATCATGTTGGGCATAAAAGGCGGTAGATAGGAAACCCGACAATGAACATTGTAGTACTCTTATTGGATAACTAGCTATTCCCCGCGACTTCGCCCGCGTGTAATTTAAGGCTGTTTTATGCGCGAAACCCTAATTCTTTTTCGAGAATAAAAGCAGCCTAAGTTACTCCTCCTTCCATAACATCGATTAAAATTAAAATATGTTTATATCGTATAGGATCTATTTTGATTTAATTAACCGCTTATTATTTAAAAATAGGGATACATTTAACATTACATTTTTACGTGGTAGAGCCATGCTGCAGCTATGTTAGTAGTATAGGTGTAGCACGAATGGGTCGGCTCAACCGGGGAAGGACCACGCTCTCACAGAATACCAGCGTAAAATAGCAGCTTAACACTGCTGTGTTTCGTATGGTGAGTGTAGAGAACCGGAGACCCTGTTTACCGGAAAAGAGGCATTCCATCTTAGCCCTCACGGGTGACAACGCAACGCAATGATACTTTATTGATGATAGATGTGGATGTCTATGGGTCACAGCAACCACTTACCATCTGGTGGACTGTGTGCTCGGTTGTCACCTTATCCTATAAAAAAACAGCTAACTTATTTTTTTATTAAATTATTTATTTTCACTGCATATGGATGTACTACA